TCGTGACATTGAATGACGTCATGGCAAATGACGTCATCACGTTTTGCGTCATCGATGACGTCATAGATTTTTGACTAACGTGCGAAAAATCCTAGACCGCCCCTGTAGCAAATTGCACTTGTTCTCGAAACATTAATGAAAAATCACACTTCGGTGTTTGGCGAAATATTTATAATACCGCTCGTGCTGCGCATTCGCGGTATTATAAATATTTCGCCAAACACGCGTGCGACTTTTTATTCAGCTGACGACTGCATGACCCTGGAATTTGCTATACAAATTTGTAAAAATGTACGGAAACATTAAGGACAACTTGAACGAATAACGGTACGTTAACGCAAAAGAAAATGACAAATATAACGTCTGGAGAAATAAATGTAGGACAACCCCCCCAAAAAAAAATTTTGGGAAAAGAAATATTAATAAGTAGTTTGAAAATTTGTTGGCAAATTTTTAACATTAGTCGACAAATACGATAACCCCCGCTTAATCCACGTTGCGGTTGCCCTGTTTGGAAGCGTCCTTGTTCGGAACCGTCCTTTCCGAAACCGTACGCAAATGTTTGGAACCGTACGCATCTTGTGTAACTGAAAAGGCGAAGTCATGGAAATTTGTGTACGGTTTCCAATTCACAAATGACGACGTCCAGACTCACATCGTTGCACATGACTTTGTCACATGCAGTTGCGATGGAAACCAGTGCTAAATTTCATATTATTATATATATTTTCATTCAGACCAAAGTGATAAAATATTAACGATATAATTACAAATGAACATGCATTAATATTTGATCGCAATCACAAGTGTTGTATGTGGCATTTAATCAAAATTTATTGCGAGTTCTATATTGCATGTAGTGATTCGGTAAATTTTTAATAAGTCGAACTATATTGGCTAGTATCTTGTTATATGCTTAATACATGTCGTGACACTTTCAATAACGCTGTGTTGTCTTGAAAATTTATTAGGAAATTGTGATAATACGACTGCAATGTTTCTTGAGTAAACTTCAAGGAAAGGGAATGAAAAATCAGGGATTCAGTTTACGAGAGAAGACTTCGCCGCAAGTTGCTATAAGGAAAATGTAACGAAAACTCTTTTCAACTGTTCAACTGTAAGAAAGGGATGAAAATGTGTTCAAGTTTTGCTGTTAATTGTTGTGAGAATGTAATCTTGTAGAAAAACGTTCCTCTGTTAAACTGCAAGGAGAGAGTGTCAGGTTGTTGCGTGATTTAAGATGAAGAGCTCACGTGAAAACTATACTGGCGACCGTCTAACTATCAATATTAGCGGTACAATCTATCAGACACGAGAGCGAACATTAGCACGCTTTCCAGATTCATTACTTGGCGATCCAATGAAAAGACAGAAATACTACTGTGCTAAACAACATTCATACTATTTCAACAGACACAGACGCGCATTCGACAGTATACTATACTACTATCAATCTGGCGGGAGGCTTGTTATACCAAGAGATATACCTCTAAGATTATTCTTTGAAGAAGTTGAATTCTTTGGTTTGGGCGATGATGCTTTGTGTTTGGTCAGTAAAGGTCTTTATGCGAGAAAGATTAAAGTGAAGGAGAACTTAATGCCAATTGGAGCAACGCAGCGCAGGATATGGGAAACATTTGAATGTCCTGAATCATCCAAAGTTGCTAAAGTTTTGAGCGTGTTTTGTATTGTTATGATTGTATTATCCATTGTACTCTCTTGTTTAACTACATCTGCATATTTTCAAGATAGGTTTTGTGTTGAATCATGCCCTGTGCAACCAAACCTAACAGTCATCGAACAATGTTGCACGTTTTTCTACGAACCAAATACAGGAATTGCCACCCTTGATTTGATCTGCTATTGTTGGTTTCTCATAGAATATTTTTGTCGTTTCCTATCCTCACCGTCAAAAAGACAATTCATTTTATCGTTTCTAAACCTTATTGATGTTTTGGTGATACTTCCATTTTTCTTTACGCACTTTATTGACACTCAGGGAATCACTTCGCTCTCCAGTTTGTTAGGAGTGTCAAAGTTACTCCGACTTACACGGATTATAAAACTATCCCGTTACTCCCGTGGCCTTAAAGCACTGGGTTCTACATTATGTGCAAGCTTTCGTGAACTTAAAATGATGATGATGTTTTTAATAATGGTGGTTATTGTTTCCTCGTGTCTGGTGTATTTGGTCGAGATGAAGCACCCTCAAGCACTAATCAAAACAGTTCCAGATGGTTTTTGGTGGTCACTTACTACAATAACTACTGTAGGATATGGGGACTATTACCCCGTGACTGGAGAAGGGAAGCTGATTGGTTGTCTGTGTACAATACTCGGTGCACTTGCATTCTCACTTCCGGTGATCGTGCTTGCAGCGAACTTCCGGACGTGTTATAAATCAGATGATTCTATAAGTGCGGAATATCATCGCAATCTTAGGCGTCAGGCATATAGACGATGGTAGCATCATTTTTCTTCATTCACAGTCGCCGAACTCATCTTAGAAGACGGACTTCGGTCATGGCCATATTTTCCGTCTATCTTTCCCGATTAGACAACGAGAGAGTTAATTAACGCGTTTCCCGTTCAAGACGAGAGACTTGTCTTGAATTTATATCAGACGAATGAGGAAACGTCTATAAAAAAGACTGGGAATGAGAATTTCGGAATTTTTCATTCAGCTAGGTTTTATTTGCCTGGTAGTTTTCGTTCCATATTCGAGTTTAAGGGCGTAGCGAAGACTTTGTCGTTTGAATAAGGGGTCGGGGGGTATGGTTCAAAATTACCAGCTGTCATTATCTACCAGGGGGTTCGGGGGAAATGCAACTAAAATTTGGTATTATGTCGACTTCATGCACTTTTAACTTCTACGTTGTCCGTCATTGCTATTATAATTTACCTGAAAATCAGCATAAGTCACCTCTAAATTTATCTGAAAACACTCATGAACAAATATTGGGGGGCGCCCTTCCCAACACATCAAGAGGCCGGTTGTACAAAGCTGGCTTAGTTTAACCCTAGGTTAAATATAACTTAAAATTCAAAGCAAACGTCCTCACAATTTGTCTAGAAATTTGGAAATATTTCTTCAGAGATCTTGTCTAGATCGATATGAGTTTATACTTCTCTGAAGTTTTGAAATAAACAGACGTGTAGAAATACACAAACTAAAACAGCAGGTTAAATTTTAACCCAGGCCGGTTAGCACTAATCCACCTTTGAACAACCGGCCCCGTGGCTACGACGACCCTGGATGTGTTATCAGATGAGTTTCCACTTGTAGAGGGAAATGTGTCTTCTAAAATGAATTCGGCTAATTACGTTATAGTCAACAGCGGCAGTTTTCGCAGCCTATCAACAGTTATAATGGCGCTGGCTCAGGTGGAGGGAGATGTAAGTTCATGAGATAATAATCATCGTTTGGCTGTTTTCAAGTTGTTTTAGACAAGAAACCAAACGAAACATAACATTCCAAGCAAAAACTCCAAATATTGTCCAAAACTAAAATTGGACCCTCCGCTGACGCGACAAAAGGCAGCAATTACAAATTACTACGCATTTTTATTCTACTCAAAACAAATCACGTGCCAGCAGCTGCCGGCAAGAGAACTGACAAAATCATAACGATGTTGTTTTCACAATAATACACTAATTAATTTAATTTTGACATTGTATTTGTTGTTTTACTTTTTAGTTCAAATAAGGTCGAAAACGTTTAGCATGCAAAGGTAATCATTACCAGTAAACGTCACTAGTAGAATGTAAGAGATCTCATGAACAATCATATATTTCGATATCTATACATTACAACAAAGTACGGCACCGTGAACATTGATAAATTAGAAGGCACTCGAACACTGCATACCTCCGTCAAGTATTAATTCATGTAGAAGGCCCCAATTACACGATACCGGATTTGCGTTTTACGACATCAACATAATAATTATTATGCCGTTCAGGAGTAATGTCTGCCCACAAAATTTCTCCTTTAAACACATGACAAATAAAATACCCACGTAAGATAAGACGTCACAACATATTTGTTGAACTATATTGATGCACAACAATATTTTTAACTCCGCCAGGACGTTCATCTTGCTTTGTTTGTGTGCGTCACCAGAATAACTGAAAAACTATTCATTAAAACAGTTTAATACGAAAATTTGTGAAGGAGGAAATGGACTACCGACAAAACAATCAAATTTGTTCAATCTGGTTGGGAAATTAACAAATTATAGTTTGTGTTTCTTTTCCTGGTTGCAACAACCTGGATGTGTGTACTGTATGTATAATTTACCGCGATACCGAGTTCAGTTGTCACGACATCGAATTTAACGGTTTCTGGAATATATCTTAACACTTAATTAAGGTTACAGGACACCCTTTTTGGCGTTTTGCGGAAAATCGCTACTGCGCGCTCAATATCAGAACATTTTCACCAAATGTTCGCCAGTGTATGCAAAATATGGTAAAGTTGTAAAATTAACAATTCAGGAAAATCTTAAATCGCGGTACCGTTACGCTTTTGGGTTGTGCTCCTGCTGGTTTTAAGTTATATTTATGAAAATATCATTTTTATACAGTAAAATAGTGAAAATTTGAGAAAAATTAGTCAAAACCCGCAGGAGCACAACTCGTTTGAAAATCAGTAATTACCGTAAAATTCTTCGGGAGAAAATTGAATTTGAATATTACATTTTCAATGTTTTTCTTATTGTACCGAAATGTATTTTATTAAATACACGAGTTTTCAACATTTTTCGTTCAAACTTGGTCAGATAGTAGAACTAGTCTAATGCTTTCATGGAAACCAATAAAAAATTTTTAGTCAAAATTAACCCTCAAAGGTGTTCTGTAACCTTAAAAATGCGACAGTATGACAAAAGCGAAAACTGTTAAGATACTGAGTTTAACATTATGTTGCTAGGCAAGCGTGGTGAAACGAAGAGATATATATGCCAATACGCCGCACTAAAATTTTATAAATGATCTGTTCCCCTATTGCATTGACAGAAGATAACGTGTAAACGGTTTCAAACGATGAGATTAGTTGTTTTTTATTTTTTCAATACGAAACGATGGTAGTTTTTCGCATCAGGCGCAAAATATTCTGTTTCTGGTCAGAAGCGCGTGCGTCATGTTTAACCCATTAAGTTGCACTACGCCCTAATGCGCCTTTATGATTTTACTCTGTCTACTGCCAGACGATATTACTCATTAAGGAGAGAGCGCTGGCGCTGAATGGGTTAATCAGACTATCTGGGTACTTACTTCATGTAGGACCCACAAAACAGTTTGAACACCAACAGTTCTAAGATATATGTGATTGTTGTAGGTAGTCCTTTCCCTGACCCTAGTTTTAACATTTAACTGTTACTGTTCCAACTTACTTTTAATTATCTTGTGTTCCTAACACGAATAGGTAATGACTATTCTACCATGTATCTGGTTAATTAACCCATTAAGTTCTAATGCGCCCAACTCTATTGTTTTCTCTGTCTAACGCCTCACGTCAACGGGTGATTTTACTAACACATTCCCACAGGACCGACGCAATATCTACCGGATTCGTTTGTATCCGAAACATTCTGTATAGACGCCTTTCGTCCACGCGTCCCGGATACGTATCCGACAAAAACGTACACTTTTGAAAACGCTCTCCAGTGTGGAAACGTTTGCAACGAATCCGGATACGTGTGGACACACTGTAACCAGAACGTTTTGAAAACGATGACGTATACAGTAAATCGATTCACCCACTTAAATATATATAAAATATTTCCGTGGAAACTCTCTGTCGAGCTGAGTAGCATTTTCTGGGGAAGGATACTGACACTGCTATGAACAGATCCAAAATGTCAGAATACTTTGACTTTATACTCCAGGGGCCGATTGTATATAAAACTCTTAATCACATTTTTAATCACTATTTTGTAGTTAAATAGTGATTAATTCTCAAATAGGCGCTTCTTATTGGATGACGTTTCCACTAAACTATAGTTAACTTTAATCACTTTTTTATATAACCAGCCCCAGAATAACACTTAATAATAGAAGGTCCACTTCATGGTCTGTCCACACATGTGAAAGCGCATGCATGCTCTGTAAGTGATTCTAGAGTATTCGTTTCGTTTTTGCGGATACGTGTGGACGGTGGAAAACGAAAAAAATCCGGATACGTGTGTACGCGTAAAGTTTTGAATCTGCAACAAAATGTTTGCGAATACAAGCGAATCTGGACACGTGTAGACGGGCCCATCACCGTCTCTCACTATTTCTGAAAGAAGCGCAACGTCAATTCTAGAAAAAGCTACTGTTCAAAAATAGGGATGCACCGGAACCGCTTTTTTAAGTTCCGGCCGGAACCGGATCCGACCGGAACTGGAAAAAAGTTCCGGCCGGAACCGGAACTAATTTATTAAGCCATATATAGTCATATGTTACTTTGTCCGCTGCCAGACAAGCAGACACTTCAAATCATCAAGTAGAGAGTTCGCAAATGTCAGAATAAAAAGACTGACAAACGTTAAACGTCATAATGAAGTGTTAATAGTGTACATTTCCCTTGCGTAGTCCAACTTTCTTCCTACTGTGACCTTTTGTTAGACACAAAAACGTTTGATATTCTATCTCCCTGAAAACGACAGAGTTCCGGTTCCGGCCATGCTTTTTTTACAAGTTCCGGCCGGAACCGGAACTCTAAAAAATCGGGGTTCCGGCCGGAACCGAGTTCCGGTGCACCCCTATTCAAAAATCTTTTAAACTAATTTTGAAAATGTCTGAGACGTCGTTGTCTGATGTCTTCATTCGTGAGGTGATTGTCCTCATCATTTGATGGCGTTGATGTATTTGAAGTGTGTCTCGTTGATGTATTTGATGTGTGTCTCGTTGATGCATCTGAAGTGTGTCTCGTTGATGCATCTGAAGTGTGTCTCGTTGATGCATCTGAAGTGTGTTGACGTCGTCGAATATCATTCAGACTTTCCTGTAACGCAGCTTGGAGTTCTGCATCTTCCCGCTGCACTGTCTGAGTTCTACGACCTGATCAAAACAATAAAATGTTTTTCAATACCTTACATTCATTTAAATTTTCGTCGTACTAGGTTTTGTTCAATCATTTCGTGCACCCTATGATCCTAAATGCGGTATTTTCGTGCAGTTTGATTAAATTTCGCACTCCTGGAAACGGTGCAAAACTAGAAAAATACGCAGTGATTGATTTTCCGTGTTAAAATGACATTTGGATTAGTATATTATAATATAGTATTACTTAACATTTTCGAGAAAGTGCTTGTTAAAATTTCCATGCCACCTGAATGTAAAAACCCCCAGACAAAGATAGTTTCTTTATGTAGCCTGGGAACGAGGTTGTAACACAGGATATCATATAGAATTATAGTTTGCGCCTTGTGTAACTTTGAGTGGTTTGTGTTATGCTGGCAAAGATTAACACATGGATTATAGTTTTCACGTAGGGAAACCTTTTTGCGCGCCAATTATTTCTCAGTTAGTTTGAAATTCGTGTACCTACAGTACAGGGTATATGGTACGGAAATTTTAATACCACACGAATTTAAATACAAGTATAATAAGTAGGGCGCTTATATACTATATAACTGTCTTACAAATAAGGTAAGTGTATCATCACTAAGATATGTATACATTTGGTATGTAGCAGTTAGGGTTGTGCAATATTTTGATATTATCATGATCTTTTCATTCTTGAATATTGTATCAAAGGTACTGCAGAAACATGAGCAAGAATATATCGTAATTATCATTACGGTCAGTAACTATCGTGATATTGTTTGGTATGTGCACAACATTTTCACAAAATCCAAAAATTTGGTGATCAAATGTTAAAGTGCGACTAACCACAAAATTAACATGATTTTTGGTATCAACTTTTTCAGTATCAAAGTTTGCGGATATGATGTCATTAGATATGAATTGCAAATTAGTTTTCCTTTGTTGTTTGTATAAAAAATTCACCTAATGACATCATATCTGGAAACTTTGACAGTGAAAAATCAAGATGATTTAGATGAGTTACAGTAGGTATCTTACTATAACGATACATTTCTTCTTAATTAGAATGACCCAAGTATTACACATACCAAAAATTATATTTGGGGTTAGTCACACTTTCATGTTTCAAGTCACTTTATACAGCTGTACCTGATGTTCCAGAGTTGTAAGTGTAGGATGGCCTGACAGGATTTGCTCTAACTAAATTCCCTACACAAAAATACATCTTCAGTAAGCATTTTATAATCACTGAATTTGTATACACTTGTCATGATTTCATTAACTTCGGCCATTAAAGTACCAGGAGTGCTAATGGTGTGACAAGCTTTGGAGGTCCAGAGGTGTACTCGATCCCCCATAGAAAATTGGACCTTCAATGGTTTACTTGAAAAAGCCATATGTTATCATTATTTCATAAATTGCAGGCCCTATCCCACTTTTTTGCCAGAATTTCAACAATTCACAAGAAGAGTCCTTGAGGCTCCTCCTTGCCTATATATAGATGCCACTGGACAAAGGCATTAATGGATTAACATTTGGCAACAAACACAGATATTATAGTTCGGCAACCAGCAGATAGTTGACAAAATATTAGAGGTGAGTACACCAGTTTATTTATCTGTGACTGACGATTATACATACCTACAGATCCATCCAAGTATTTCAATGGACCCTTCACATAGAGTAAACCAACAATTATTCCAGCAAGGTGACCAGTAAATGACACTGATGGTACTAATAACTGTATAACAACCAACTCAACCCAATATGCAATACTACTTGGCACACGAAACAAGAACACACTTGTCATGCTTCCAGAGGGCAGGTTATATGTTGTCACAACTTTAAGTGCAAATATCACTCCTGAGAACCCTGCCGCACATGTATGTAGGTACGATAAGTCATTTAATAACACTGACAGACAATAGTCAAGGATAAGAAGTGTAACACTGGTTAATACAGAGAATACTGACAACAAGTAGACCATGCCAGAGCTGCCAAGTCTAGTCTCTAGTGACATGCTTTTCCATAGGAATGACACCATGTTATAGTACAAATGCATGTCATCAAGATGAAAAAATGGCGATAAAAAGATTCTTCTCCAATCTTTACCATACCATACATAAACATAGCTGATGCAAGCCTGCCTGACAGATGGCAAGCCAGTGAATAAACGAAGATAAATAGCGGTGTTTATTGCAATAACACCCAGTGTCACTGGGGGAATATACTGTACACCAGTCTGCATCAACTGAGCAGCAAGGAGCAGTATCCCAATACCTGGAGAACGTCTTCTTCTGAACATTTTTTAACTAGATTGTTTTCAAAATTAAAAACAAAATATCATGACAAAATAAAGTTCATGAAATTTGCTATTTCAGGCTTTTCAGCATGTTTGCCTTTGAGCCAGCAATGAAATAATGGGTATCGTCAGGCATCGACCATACTTCGTGTTGTAGAGTATTATTTGGCCAAAATCTGGCGGACAAGGAATCGCGGGCTGGCGGACGTTGTGGCGCGGAGTGTTTTTGTGTATTTACTCAGCAGCTCAACTCTACAACGACTACAACGACTACAACTCTAGAACTGTACAGCCCTACAACGCTACCCCAGTGGCGTAAATCTTCAGCTATGGGCCCCCGGTTGAAGTAGTTTGGAGGGCTCCTTGATTATACATCTTTCCCAAACTTTTTACCATGCTAACCCTACGAATTGAATTTTGTACGAACACGATTTACACGAGGTCCAAATATTGCGCTGAACTGTTCTGAAAAAAAATCGCGAGAATATATTATAGCTACTGAACATAACTATTACTACATCAATTATACCCCTGTAAACACAGAAAAAAAAAACTCCGTGTTCTATTGCTTAAACAACAGCAACAACAACAACAACAACAACAACATAGTTCATAACAGTTAGTATACTGAAAAGGTGTAAGCAAACACAATTTAAATTGCAACCAAATTGTTTCAGTTAATTTTTCTCTGCAAAGATATCAATAATTTTGTCAATTTCGAGCTTTTTTGCCTCTTCAACTTTAAGCTCGTCTGTGGCCTCTTTGTCGAGAAATCTGGAAACCCTTTTTGTTCTTTTTTCAACAAGAGAAACAGGAAGTCCAAACTTAAGAGCAAGGATAGTGGTTTATATTAAAATCTTTCTCCATTTGCCTCTAATTTCTTTAACTGAATTTAGTGCTCTTCCCAATTCGGGGATGATTTGCCAAGATCCATATCAAATGCTTGCAGATCTTTAGATGCAAGATTAATTGCCGTAAGAATTTTTTCCCAGATGATAAATGAAAGAAGAAATTCCAGAGTGCTTATTTTTTTTAGTAGATCACTAGATGTTTATTTGCTTTCATATCATTTACTATATTGCATGCTTCAGGATGTTTTTCATCGCTCGTATATACTGTCTATTCTTGATGACCATCGGGTCGTGAAAAACTGTTTAGGAGATAGACGTGATTAATCTTTTTGTTATCTTACTGCAAACATAGACTAATTTGCATGCGAATTCGCTAATTCCAATACCAGGTGCCCGGACTCGCGCGGTTTTTAAATCGTATTACGAAGATGACATGTTAAAATTCTAAATTTAAAATTTTGAAAACTAAGTCAAAAAGATAAATAATTCATACCTGTCGTTAGTTCGTAGGTAAATAATTAATAATACGAGGAAACACAAGGTGAGGACGTGAGGTGCATTAAATAATTATAATATAAACGATGCTATATTTTGTATTCCTTCAAATAACGTCGAAATTACAGTATAAACAATCGTTACCAATGAACAAGGGGGAATTTCGTTCTCGACCAATCAGCGCTTTTGTTTACATTTTTGCCCTAAGCCAATCAGAATGCGTAAAACGCTTCATCACATGAAATTCATAAACAAACATATGGGGTTACTTCAGAGCTTTTCTGCAAGCGGTTTTTTGTTTTTTTGCCATGAAATTCATATATGTTGTTCTTAAAAGAATTCTCCTCAACTTCCTCTTGGCGATTTTTGATTAATTGCGTGATTGCGAAGATATGGGTCTTCAAACTTTGCCTTGCGCAAGCTTAAATACCACCCCTCGAATTTGTAGGTTCCGAACGGATTAGCGTTTTTAAAAGCCTTTCAAATCGAGGTTTGAGACGTTTTATTGTTTAAAAGATACTTTTATCTTCATATTTTCACATTAACTTATTAATATCCTGTGTAACAAGTAAACAGGACATTTCCGGGCCGGGACAAGTTGACATGTCGATTTCTTGCCAAACAGCGTGGCGATCAATATGGCGAATATCTAAATACAGGGAATTTTTAAAATTTTGTTGGTATAAATGGCCAAATGGGGTAAAGAGACTCATCAAATATTTGGACTATGGACCTTCAAAATAAATGCCAAGTATTTATTTGATTGATTAACTCAATATAAACTGTTTCTTGGCTCGTTTTTCGTCGATTTCCACATTTTGTTGACTTCAGGATAATTATAATGTGTCAACATTGCGTGTACTTGCAGCCTGTGGACATGAATATTTTCGTTTGTTTGACAATAACACTTGTCTTCATTGGTTTTAATCCTTGATTGACAATATATTCATTGGTCTCAGAGTCCTAAACTTAAGGAAGATGGATGACATTGGGACAGAATGATTTTGTTCAATGTTGCTGTTCAGGTATCAAAATTTATGGATATATACCTGTATATGAACTTCATTGTTTTTTTACTTCATCTGGCTCACTTGTGGAAGACGACATTTGCCAGTATGTTCTATCCTATCCTGCTGCTATCGGCCTAGCTAAGCGTGAGGTTTTCATTGCCAGAATCCTGGCTATATGTAAGCCAAGAAATTCACCATATACAATAAGGATCAATAAGCACTGTATACCAAACAGGCAACATGAATTAGGCTTCAAGCATGTGTTCTGGATAGTCTAGATCATATAAACAGGTCCCCAATAGATCCCGATCTACTATAATTGAAACATTTTAGTCCATAAATTTGTGCATTACCAGAATAACTGTGCACAAATGAATATTTTACACATATTATATAATGCAATCCAATATTAAGCCCCCAGTAACCTCACAAATAGGCCTCCCTTCCAAAAATCAGATCTCCCTTCCAAAAATAAGCTCTCCCTGTTAAGGGCTGTCAAAATGGGCCATGCTAGCCCAGCAAACATGGCTGGATTTTCTTTTCAGGACTAGTTTGTCATTTGCCTCACAGGAGCCAGGCTAACCTGGCAACTGTTGTCAAGAAATTTGTGTGAAATGCTGGTTAATTTGTTAATGACAACAGCTTCAGAAGGCTTATACTAATCAATTTCTTACTTACGTGGGCCAAATTGTGTATTATAACATGATTTTTAGTCGAGTGAGCTGGTTGGCCAGCTTATGACCTTTATTAGTGTGAGACTCCCAATGCAGGATATCAACTTGCTCAAGCAAATGCTGGGCCAATAAATTCAACCAGGCTGTTTCATGTGAATGCAATCTCAAACATATATAAAATTAATATACGAGGCAGTATCTTACCATGGGCAGGTGTATATTTAGCCCATATAAATGGGCAAGACCAGCTTGCATGCCCAGTGTGATATTATACTACTAACAATACCTGGTTGATTCTACAAGATTATGGCCTAAAATGTTCCAATTGCAGTTTCAGGATCTGCTAAGGGTCTGTTGATATGATCTGGGCTAGGCAGCATGGGACCCTAAAGGCAAGTTCATGTTGCCTGGTTGTGGGATAGAATGTTTACTGTAAATGGTGAATTTCTTGGCTTGCATAGTTGGGATTCTGGCAACGGATACATTGTGCTTAGCCAGGATAGTAGCAGGATAGTATATCGGCAATACTGGAAAATGTTGTCTCCCGCCTAGCCAGGTCATAAGAACAGGCCCCATTTGTGACTAGTGGGCCAGATTAAGGAAGAAACAATGAGGGTCCTATGACTATGCTCTGTGACTATATATGTCCATAAATTTTGATATCTGAACAAAATTTTGATATCTGTCCCAAAGTCATCCATCTTCCTTAAGTTTAGGACTCTGAGACCAATAAATATATTGTCATTCAAGGATTAAAAACAGTGAAGAAAAGTGTTATGGTCAAACAAACGAAAATATTCATATCCACAGGCTGCAACACGCAATGTTGACACATTATTTTGATAAGCTCGACTAAATGTCGAAATCGACGAAAAACGAGCCAAAAAACAGTTATTGAGCTAATCAATCAAATAAATACTTGGCATAAGTTTGAAGGTCCATAGTCCAAATATTTGATGAGCTTCTTTATCCCATTTATACCAACAAAATTTTAAAATTCCCCGTATTTAGATATTCGCCATATTGATCGCCACGCTGTTTGGCAAGAAATCGACATGTCAACTTGTCCCGGCCCGGAAATGTCCTGTTTACTTGTTACACAGGATATTAATAAGTTAATATGAAAATATGAAGATAAAAGTATCTTTTAAAAAATAAAACCTCTCAAACCTCGATTTGAAAGGCTTTTAAAAACGCTAATCCGTTCGGAACCTACAAATTCGAGGGGTGGTATTTAAGCCTGCGCAAGGCAAAGTTTGAAGACCCATATCTTCGCAATCACGCAATTAATCAAAAATCGCCACGAGGAAGTTGAGGAGAATTCTTTTAAGAACAACATATATGAATTTCATGGCAAAAAACCAAAAAACCGCTTGCAGAAAAGCTCTGAAGTAACCCCATATGTTTGTTTACAAATTTCATGTGATGAAGCGTTTTACGCATTCTGACTGGCTTAGGGCAAAAATGTAAACAAAAGCGCTGATTGGTCGAGAACGAAATTCCCCCTTTGTTCAGTTGAACTTGTAATTAATTGCAGTTGAGGTTCCACTGCGCATTAATTGCATGCTTTTGCATTTTTTGCAGTTGATAAATTGCAGTTGAACTATTATATATAATATGTAGCTGAGACTGGAATATTTAGAAGAAGCATGTCAAATCATTCAACTGGTTAGTCATCATTGCAATAATTATGCAAAATATTGCTGAAAGAACAATTAATTATGGCACGGTTTATTCGAAAGAAAAAAAATCAAAGGCCTTCGAGGCCGACTCACGGATGAGATCAAATTAATTAAAGGGGGATATGATTTACAGCAGTTTTTTACAAATGGGAACCGTGCAAGGGCAAGGACATTATTTGGTAAAACACAACATAATATAAAATGTTCCCGAAGATCTTACAGGTTTAAAGTTTAATTTTAACGACATCCTCGATTTTAACAATAAGGGACCGGTCATTAATTATGGAAGGGGGGAGGGGAGGAAAAAAATAAGGGGGGCATATGTAGAAATGACTAGAAGGGGGGCTATTAAATTTTTTCAAGAAAATGACAGGGGGTGTTGCAATTAAACTTGAAGGAATTTGCTTAATAACCTGGTATCCATTTGGTTGTAAATGTTGCAACTAAATCATGGTCACTGATGTGAAATAGTCTGGATTCATCTTGTCTTGTGTGTGCTGTATGCAGTATGCAAATCAGTCTTTACGGATTGCAGACTAGTTAAATTGACAATGTATTATTACATCAGCTCTTGATGTGGTTAAATACATTTAAATTAAGCAAGGTTAACGGCGTTTGTATTATGCAGGCCACATCCGCTGCGGGGAATCTGTGACGTCATATCGATCAAAGGGGGTTGTTTCATGCCTTGTGATCAGTGCTTCGGTCTGGGTATTCATTCTACCATTGTATGCTTTGCCTAGCTGCAGCAAGTTTTGCGCTTCGATACCTTTTCCCGACCCACCCACCCATGTTCATTCTAAAAGATTTTATCTGGTAGCTAGTATATGTCATTTTTATATAATTTTTAATCTCACATAAAATAGGATGTATAGACCACTATACACTGTATTTCGCAGGTATGCCTTGGCAGAATTGTCATTGCTATCTCCTTTTGCTGCTAATTTTACTCATTGTTGCTCTCATTGTTGCCGCGCAGCTGCTATGGCAATACTTCGTACCATCAAGTCTAGTTGCAGCCTTAAACATGGTTACGATCGCCCAGACCAAATGGAAACCTGATTTTAGTGTTATATATAAAAATACTCCTCTTTTAATTACAATTTTCTGCTAATAAATATATATTTTTGGTCGACGTTAATATCTTGCCAGTTCCATATTCTTATTTAATAATTAAAATACTATAACGCCTGGGTATCCCCATTTGACGAGTAAAAATGAAAATGGGGCGGGGGGGTCAAAGAAAAATATTCTAATATGGCAGGGGGGGCATCATTAAATTTCTGCCATTTAGGGGGGGGGCTTTCAATTTTAAAAATTTAGAAAAGAAAAAATTCCCCTCCCCCCTTCCATAAATAATGACCGGTCCCTAACCAATATCAACAGTCTTGAAAAAACAATCTGAATAGATTATTATAAAACTACACACTATCAAAGCAAATCTATATAAAAGTACAATAACCGTAGCTGTCAGGTGTGTATAGTGTTCAACAGAATAACTATAAGTATAAAGCTGTACCTAATACAGTCAGTATCAGTACATCCAATGACCGTGGCTTTCCGATATGTACAGTGTTAAACAGACTGACAATTTAAACATGATAACTATAATAAGTATAAAGCTGTCCCCAATGTAATATATCAAATGACCGTAGCTGTCCGATCTAGAGTGTTGAACAGGACAATTTAAACATGATAGCTATAAGTATAAAGCTGTAACCAATACAGTACATGCTGCATCAACGACCGTAGCTGTACGATGTACAGTGTACAGTGTTGAACAGAAAAATTTAAACAGAACAACTATAAAACAGCACCCTTATTGATACAACGGTACAGGTAGCTGTCCAATGGCAGTACAGTGTAAGTAAATCCAGGTGGTAATGCTGCCTCAGTGTCCAATGCTCTTTTTCTTTTTAGACCATTTATAATTGTTACCAAACTGTGAATAAACATAAATATCTACATTGAAAAGGGAATGGCTGCAAAAATTTCAATATCAGTCCCCCACACACCACTGTTCCTCATGTTGCTTGTGGCTAAATAATGATCTACTGAACTATTCATATATGGTCTAAGGACATGTTCTATACTGTTCATGTGATCCACTATTTTTTGTCTTAAAATCATGTGGTATGTTTGTCTACCGGTTAAAATATATGACAGTGCTCTAAATAAACAATTGCCATCCCCTGTAATCCGACAGAGTTTCGTTGGATTAACTAGTGGTTTTGATGTTGTTTCATTGCGTCTAAATATAAGTGGGACATTCATCAAAGAGCATAAGGACAGCTGAAATTCTCCTGATAGAGGATAAAAATAAAGCGATCTATCGATACACTGCTGAGACTTGTCCGTGCCAGCTGATACTAGGCTACAGTGCAAGCGCAGTCATGTGAAATATACAACGGCAGGTCGGCAACGTGACTTTAATAGAAAGATTTTGTGTCGTGTTGCTTCGAATAAGACAAATATGTCCTTTGTATTCCGTGACAGCTAAAACATGAATTATTTAATTTAAATAACATGATTAAATTTGGTAAACAAAAAACTCTTTCAATCGACAGAAACTATGGAAACAGTGTTGAAACGGTGTTGAAACACAGCTGACAGAGGCGCTCGAAAGGCACCAGAAAATGTGAACACTTTTATATATATTGAACAAAATAGTGTTAATATTTCAGCTAAAAGGTAGATCAGTGTGTTAACAGCAGATCTGTTGGGTGAAGTAGAAAAACAGATAACAATTAAGTCAACTAACACTCACCTTTTAATTTAGCACACGCTTGTCAAAAAGTCAAAAGTTGAAAAGAACGTGAAGCGTGCTCCAGCCCAATTTCCGGTTCCAAAAGACCCGTTCGCAGGCAAACACTGCGCGCAAAGCAGGCTGGTCATTTCCCATTGTTTAACTGCCCCACTCAAGTAAACCACAAAGACTCACAGATGTTGCTTCGCAACATCCGTGAGTCAAAAACGTGAACTCTGAACTGTACTTTTTTATATTTTGCTTTACACAGAAGGCAAAATATGCTAATACAAAAATTATTCAATGGATAGTTCTACGTTGTGGCTTTAAGTACAATACAAATAATAATTGAACAGCTGAATACTTTGACTGACATTCTCAGTTACATGTTATGATTTAATTGCAATTTATCCCCAACGCAGAACGTATTATTTAGATGCGCACTGCGCATAGTGGAAATTCTGAATTTGCTTATTATTTTTTATGGTATGAGTAGTGCAGAGAATAGGTACCTGAGCGAAACCAACGAAGAACAGTTGATCATTATTGAAAGAAAGACCTGGTAACTTATCTTCGTCGCCATGTATTTTACGCCAATTTTGATATGCCTAACAAAAAATACGTGGAGATATCAAAACTCTGGTAAGTAGTATATATAGATGATTATCGCTCAAAATCACTCAAAAATATAATTTCGTAATTAGTGTTTTAAATTAACAAAGTTTTAATGCATTTAATTTTTAGGAATATATAGTCAATTGCTTGGATTGCGAAAAACACCATGTATATTTCCGTCCATCCGTCCGTCTGTCTGTCCGCAGTGTCTGTGTTTGTATGTCAGTCTGTCAGCGTGATAACTTAAAAATATCAAATGTATTAATAGGAAACTTGTGGGACTAATGGATATTTCCCGGGGACAAACCGATTACATTGTGGTGATATTTGGATGAAAATTGGAAGAGGAATTAGCAAAAGTTTGTCTTGCTTTGCCGGGCAAAGTAAACTGAATGCCCAATGCATTCTATCGTTTATGCATGATACATAACTTAATTCGTTGGCGGAGGTACTGTATCAGTGTCCTCTAGGAGGTATCAGTATCCTCGGAGGTATGAGTGTACAGGTCCTTGAGTGATACTGAGCAGCTATTTTTTAGCTGACCAAGTTTCATCAGTAAATGTGGTATATTATTCTTATTATTATTAGCTATTAGTGCAAAAGCTTTGGATCCGTAAGCCCAGATCTTCATCAGTGCTAATATTTACGGTTTTTTTCCCACAAGACAAACGATATATTTATTTTACTTTAAGTGTTATCTATAAGCATTGCCCTTATCCAACCTTGGATTTAGTGGGAAAATGATCTAGCTAACTTCTCACCCCAGCCATAAGTATTGAGTGGCTTTTATGTAGTACAACGCCTTGACAGCAGGCATGCAATGATATAGAAAAAATCGCTGGAATACTGTATTCTCCAATTCCACTTACCCTAAAAGCATACTTCAAACCTCCGTTATCAGCAATGTTTTCTGATAATGTCTTATTGCCATTAACCTAGTAAAAACAGTGCGTGCGTATTAGGCTATTATGTTAAATATTTTAATAGTTGTAAAAATATATGTTGGATCGGATTGAACACACAACTTCCATTTGCTTGTGCGATGACAAGTTATATTTCAGGATTTATTGCCGGATCCGTTTTCGCAAACGTAAATAGCTGGGGGTTTCAGCCCCGATATCTTTTTGAAGAACTTTTTGATACATTTCAACCGCTAGCCAAACGTTTGGTCATGGGCATATTAGAACACTGTCTCTTGTCCTAACTAATTAGTTGTTCGTCCTCTTTTTCTTATATTTTACACAAAACGGACCACCACTGGGGGGGGGGGCGTATATTATTGGAGGAGGCAACATGGGGTGGGAAGACTTGCTTTCCCTCAAGTTATTTCTATACCATAATACATTTGAAAGATAATCAGACAGTTGCTCCAGTTTTAGTCTTAACACAATATATAGTCAGTCCTGTTTTATATATAATCAATTTTCTAAATTCATAGGAAAGACTATTTCACAAACCTGATAACCAAATATTTTAACTTTGTCGTACTCTTCAATCAAACATGTCGACCGTTTCACGAAATTTGCGTGCGATTTCCTGGTCCACCATTGGCGAAGATTTCCCTTCTCGTCGAACTCACTTCCTGTTCGTAATATTAACGGGATGGTTAAAGTGGTTATGAACAATGAGCTTATCTCACCCAATGAAACGGGAACTTCATAGTTTGGGTCACATGTAAATGTTACATAGTCGGCCGTACAATGAACCCTTTTCCAGTAAGTCTATAGCGGACTTTGTTTTTGCTTTTGTCGATTTAAGGTGGTCTTCCACCCAAATTTTCCAATATTCGTTATTTTTTAGAAAAACGTAAAAATGTAGTCTTTATAGACCTTATTCATAAATCGTGACGAGGCCTCGTATCCTAGGATACGGGAAAAAAAAAACGCGGGAATACAAGCGAAAACTGCTTGACAAGCCAAATTCAGATGCTATATATCGACTTCAACGGCTTGTTTCTTGTTGCCTTTTGCGATTTATAACATTTTGTGTGTATTTTAAGACTTTGTGCCCACAACGAAAGCGGT